GAGAATTAATGTGCGAGGATCGTATATTTTGGTCATTGTTCCCGATCGCGAACGTGTCAAGGAAACTTCTTAGATTCTATAGGCGAAATCAGGGTTATTATTTTAAAGTGTACATGTGACAATGCTTCACATTTCATACATGTATCTATATACATGTATATAAAAATGATCGAATGCCACGCCAGGTGCACGAAACGCGTGCTTAAAAGAGAAACCATACCATATCGAATGATAATCTATTATTAGATGGTTTTAGTAATATAATACGAAAAGATAGAAATTGTTTTGGGGGAGGTGTTATGATATATTTTTCAAATCAGATACATGTAACAAGACGCCAAGAATATGAACCTGCAAATTTAGAGTGTATTTGGTTAGAAATCGAAAACCGTACCTGTAAATACTATCTCTGCTGTATTTATCGACCTCCAAACGCTGATGCCAGTTTCTGGACTAAACTTTCATGGAGTTTAGATAAAGTAGGAGAATCATCGAGTAAAATCATAATTGTTGGTGATATAAATGTAGATCTGTTAAATACTCCTCAAACACACATAATACGAGAAATAGTTTCAAATTCCAATCTTGTCAATAACATCCACGTACCAACGAGAATTTCTAACAATACACGCACGCTTCTTGACCCAGTTTTCACTTCAGCTGATATTCAGGTACATGATTCGGGTGTCCTTGAAATTGACCCAGCTTTTAGTGATCACAAAGCAACTTATATTGCACTAGCCTCAAATATAAATTACAATCGCGCTTACGAAAGAAAAGTATGGGATTATAAGAGTGGTGACTTTGACAGATTAAATTCCTTAATACAAAATTGTGATTGGGATAAATATATCAATGATGCCGACAATATAGACGCGGCTACTGACAATTTTTCAAATAAATTTCTCTCTTGTGTTAGACAATCTTTCTGTGAAAAAACAATTACTATTCGTCCACGAGATAAACCTTGGATGGACTCCATTCTGCGTAAAACGCTAAGACTTAGAAATAGATTACGAAATAAGGCATTAAGAACGAAGAAAGATTCGGATTGGGCTGAATTCAAAAAAGTTCGGAATACGTTCAATAACATGAAAAAATACGCTATAGCTAATTACTATGACAGTATAGAAATGCATCGAGTAGACGCAAACAAAAACAACAACAAATTGTATTGGAAACTAATGAAGGACGCATTTAATGTTAAATCATCCAATGATATCCCTCCATTACAAATTACTACCGATAATGGGAAAAATAGCTTAGCCTTTTCTGATCAAGATAAAATTGAAGCACTCAACAGTTATTTTTCATCCATCTCGTGTATTGATGATAAAAATCATAGTCTACCACAAATCTACTCTTCATGTAGTGATAATCTTAGTAATATCATAATTGATGAACAAGAGGTAGTTGACATTATTTCAATAATTCCTGTTAATAAAGCCAGGTCCCGACTGCATCAGTCACAAAATGCTTAAAAATACTGTTTCTACTGTTTCAAAACCATTGACTATGTTATTTAATAAATCACTGTCAGAGAATGTTTTCCCGTCCATGTGGAAAGTAGCTCATGTATTACCTCTCTTTAAAAAGGATGATCCGTCTTTAGTGTCTAACTATAGGCCTGTGTCGTTGTTAAGCTGCGTTAGCAAAATTATGGAGAGAATTATTTTCAAACACGTGTATAATTATTTTCATTATAACAATTTATTTTATCGATATCAGGCGGGTTTTTTACCTGGTCACTCTACAGTGTACCAACTTCTAGAAACTTATCATAGTATTGTGCAAAGTATAGACGAAGGCAAATCGTGTTGTATGGTTTTTTGCGATCTATCTAAAGCATTCGACAGAGTATGGTACAAGGGTCTTCTTTTCAAATTACAAACGTACGGAATATCTGGTGATCTTTTACTGTGGTTTACAAGTTACTTGAGAAATAGATCACAAAAAGTTATGTATAAAGATCTGCTATCATCCAACCTCAATATATATGCAGGTGTGCCTCAAGGCTCAGTTCTAGGTCCTCTTTTATTTTTGATATATATTAATGATGTTGCTGAAAATATGCTTACAATGTGTAGACTATTTGCTGATGACAATTCACTGCAACATGCATCATATAATGTACTAGATATAGAATACAGGTTAAACCACGATCTTGATGTTTTAGATAAATGGTCGAGTACATGGCTTTTAAGATTTAATCCAGCAAAAACAAAGGTTGTATTTTTTTCTTTTAAACATAGACCTGTTTTACCTAACTTGTATTTTCCAGGTAATGCACTGGAGTTTGTATCGGTGCATCGCCATTTGGGTATATTGTTGTCACAAAATCTCAACTGGTCTGAATATATAGATGGTATTGTTAATAATGCTTATAAGAAATTGGGGTTATTGAAGAAGTTGAAATTTTCAATCGGTAGGAAAAATCTTTCTCTTTTGTATACAACATTTGTAAGACCTACACTTGAATATGCTTCAATTGTCTGGGATGGTTGCTCTTTATCTGATGTAGAAAAACTTGAAAAAGTACAATTAATGGCTGCTAGAATAGTTACTGGTCTTCCTATATTAGCTTCAAGAGAATCACTCTATTTTGAAACAGGATGGGTACCTTTGAAAAACCGTCGTTACCAATCTAAAATGATTACAATGTTCAAAATTAATAATTGTAATGTACCGGAATATATACAAGATATAGTCCCAAAGAAACGAGAACACACATCAAGATACAATACACGAAATAAGGATCAATTAACTATCCCAAGGGGCAGGTTAGAAATATTTAACAAATCTTTTGTACCTGATGCAGTTAAAAAATGGAATTTACTGAATATAGATACAAGGGAAGCCATCTCAGTCAATTCTTTTCGTAAGATTATAAGTGATAATAATCCTAAAGCACCATCATATTTTTTGTTTGGTAAACGTATTACCAACATTATTCATACTAAATTAAGGCATAACTGTGTTTTGAACCAAGACTTATTCAAACGTAATATTATTGATAATCCCTACTGCTCTTGTGGTAAACACGAAGATGCCTATCATTTTTTCTTTGTTTGTAAAAAATACTGTAATGCTCGAAGTAATCTTTTTGACTATCTTTTTCGACTTGATTTAAAAATCATAGATGTACACCTACTGCTATGGGGCAATGAAAATCTCTCAATCGAAGTAAACAGTGACATTTTTGCCGCTGTTCATAAATTTATAAATGAATCCTGTAGATTTAGCTAGATATATTATTGAATCTTATTTGTACACGTTTTTGTTACTATTTTGCATGACAATTATGTGGGTTTTTTTTAAGGAGAAGAACTAGTAAGTTGTTAGAACTTGTTTCTTATCCTTTTGCTTGACAATAAAATATGTTCAAAACAAAAGAGAAAGGAGCATTACTCCTGCCTCTAAATTTTACGTTTTAAAAATTTTATCCTGTGAGGAAATTTTCATCCTGGTCATTTTTTTCATCAAAATAATATGGACCTAGCCACCCTGCAAATAACAAAGCTGTAACAAATACGCATGTAGGTAATTATAAGGTTATGCATGTAATTGTCTTAATTTTAGTAAAATTCTTGGCTACAATCAAGCAGGTAAAATACATTGTCAATTATTTTCAAATCACTCTTTTCCTGAAAGAGATATTTAATCATCATGAAGACTTGCTATCAAAAATTTTACTTCCTATGCAAGTCCTGTACATTGATAAAAGGTGGTGGATGCTGGTAATAATAAGTAAAATATGTAGAGACGGAGAGAAGTTGATTGATTTGTGAACTTGCTTTCCACCACGAGGCGCGACAAATGCACATTTTTGGAACATAAGAAAGGGGGTGGGGTCCTTCCAATTACTGGAAGTTCAGTGCCAAATTCAAAGTTTCACTGGATATAAATTATATTTCAGCAATGTGTATATGCATTATATGCATTTTTTATGTAGGGTCAGAGAGGACAATTACTTTGATAAAGCTCTTGCATAGGCCATTCTTTCGAGATTAATAGAAATATGCAATCGAATCTGTTCTTCAAACTGCTCCAAAAAAGAATAAATTCATTTGGGAAAAAAAAAAGAAGAACAGAAAGTATTTTTGACGAACGCCTTGATTTAATTCATGTGTGAAACAATATGCTCTCTCACTCTCGTCGCGGGTTCGAATCCCACCGCGGGACATGGAGACCGGCCCTTGAGTTCCCAAGCCGCAGTAGGCGCTGGCTCAAAAAAGATCCCTACCTGCTCAATGGCCCTGAGCGCCGAGTATAGGACAAAGTTTTTCTCCACTAGAAAGCATTGGCGTCTCCATATGAGTAAAAAAATTCTCAAGAGGAACATGAAACGGTATACAATCAATCTCTTCAGGAATATGATAGGGCCGTTTGTTATCAGAATGTCCCTTATTAGCAGACATAATTTCAGGAAAACAGGAAAGTTTTTCTGTGGTCCTCTAAATTTAGATATCGACAACATACATCTACGTATTATCAATTAGCAACAGTTACTTTCATTCATATGTCGACTCGACATACCATGATCATGAAATTTTTTAAATTGTTCAATCACAAAGACGAAAAAAACTTCTGAAACAAAAAAGTATTCAAACCATCTATCTGATCTGAACTGTGTATTGGGGGGGGGGGGGGGGGCTTAAAGTATCTTGGTTTAGATGAATCCGAGTTTTCCGCCTAGATTTTACGAGCATAGACAATATTAACAAATAAAGGGATTGAATGCACAATAGACATCCTCCCCTAAAAAGAAAAATAAACTGACACCAATGGTTGTATTCAAAAGAAACAAAACATCTCGTGATCTCGTGTTTCTATGTTAAGGGGGGGGGGTAATTAAAACCTGATTTTTCTTCTAAAATGCTTAAAATATCGCTCATGAAAAGGAACAATTACAAAATTATTAAATCAAAATCACTTATTTAATGTAATTTGTTGTCCAAGGTGATTTTTCTTGTGCGTGTTTTATAACACAAACATGGAAATGTGAGAACAAAGTAATCGACGTTTTCCGATAAATCACAGCGTCATGAGGGAGAATTTGTATTTTTTATTTGAAAAATATCATTAATATTTAGTCTATGAACAAAAACATGTTAAATATCATTTGACAAAGGATAAAAGTGTCTATCAGGATCACTAAACAACTCAAAATGTCAAAATTTTGACTTAAGGGTGGTTTTCGCTTGACGGTCATCATATGTATATGAAAATATGTCTAAATGATCATCTCGATACGACTAACTGGTTAATCGGTCGGAACGTCTTGCGGTTAACCGATTGGCAATTCTGTAATCGATTGCCATCCGTAATACTTACACATGTGTTGATAATCTTTGTTACATATTTCGTGAATTTTTCTCCTCAGATTAAATTATCTAACTCCTCTGGATTCAAAGGAACAAAATGCAGATGTTGTCCGGAGGTTTTGGCTTTAGCGAAACTGTTTATATTTGCTTAGCAACTGGCCTCTCTGAATTTCGAATCCGACGTTCTTAATATGCAGAATGATTGCACGCGAAAGAATATAACTGTGTTGGCGGGAGGGGGGGGGGCAAAGTAACTGTCTCCGGTGAAATATGGCCGTATTTGACTCGATTCAGCTAGCAGTTTCTACTGAGCATATGGATAAAAATATTATATTTGTGATATAATGGGAAAGCTTCTTCAAAAATGTTATATACATTCGCGGGTATGTTGGAATAGCATATATTAAGTCTTTTTTGGAGGGGGGTGGTTAAATTTCTTAAAGAAAATTAAACTTGATAATTTTCTAAAACCGCTGCTAAGCGTAAGCTTTTATTACGAGGGGTGATCAAAACTTCGCAGACTATCTTTATATCTACAAAACCACAATTCAGATAAGAATGAAATTCGGTACACACATAGCCATACACAAGGTTTATAAATAGCATATGTTGAATAAAGTTTCTCTCCTTGTTTGTGACATCAAAATGTGAAAATTACGTCACTATTTAGGCCACTTGTGACGAAAAATGGTTGTGTTAGTCCAACTCGTTCAACAAACGACTGTACAACCTAATTATTGTAATATCTTAGAAATCCCTCTACAGTTTCATCTAATAATTTGTACACAGTTTATTGAGATAAATGAGTTCCTATAAATTCAATTAATGATTGGATTATTCGTTTAAGTGAAGGGAGGCTGATGGTTAAAAATGATACTTGTCATCTTGCCCAGTGAAAGCAAGTTTGAAAAGATATGTATTTTTAATTAAGCAATTTGCTATCAAAGACCTCTAATTAGCACTTTGAAAAATAATTGAATATTTGAAAAATGATATAAGTATAAAATACCTACAATATCGTTTACATTAGATTTTAAACATATTAGTTATAATAAAAAAGATGCACCAATTCTCTATCCACCTTGAATAAAGGTTTTTCCTGAGACAGAAGATTTGTGTTTTAATGGTCCCCATGCTTATTTTTGGAAAGGATGTTA